ACATCTGAAGAACCTTCAACTTGCACACCCTGTAACAAATGATGAGAATTTTGAAATTTCCCTCCTCGTTGGAGCTGACCAATACTGGGACATCATCGAAGACCAAGTCATCCGTGGAAATGGGCCTACTGCCATGAAATCCAAAGTTGGTTATCTACTATCAGGCCCGCTAAAAACTGACCAACCAGTACATTCGATTGCAAATTTTCTCCAGATATCCTCAGATGAGTACGACCTACAACGATTTTGGTCTCTAGAGTCATTGGGAATAACACCACCAACTGAAAATGATCCTCATAAACAATTTCTCGAACAGTATCAACAATCATTCATCAGCCGTGACACGAATGGCAGTTACATAGCAGGATTTCCGTGGAAACCAGAACACCCACCTCTTCAATCTAACTACACGGTATGCGAAAGGAGAACAAGATCGATGGCACGTCGCCTCAAACAAACACCAGAACTACTCCAGACATATAGTAATATCATCACCGAGTATGAAAGTCGTGGATTTATAGAGAAAGTTCAAACAACTCAGCACTCAGACAAAGCTCATTATATTCCTCACCATCCGGTAAAGAAAGAATCGTCTACGACCCCTATCCGGATTGTCTTTGATTGCAGTTGCCGTCAACATCCCGATTTGCCATCACTAAATGATTGTCTTGAGGTCGGACCGTCATTTCTGAACGACCTTTGTGGCATTATTCTACGATTTCGCACATATCCTTATGGATTCTCAACAGATATCGAGAAAGCATTCCTACATGTTGGCCTAAACGAAAGTGATAGAGACTTCACAAGATTTCTCTGGTTATCTAATCCAACCGACCCAGAAAGTGCATTCCAGATCTACCGATTTAAAGTCGTATTGTTTGGTTCCACAAGTTCTCCATTTATGCTCAACGCAACACTACATTCACACTTGAACGACCACAACTCACAAATAGCTAAAGATATCAAGAATGATTTGTATGTTGATAACTTTATTTCTGGCCGTGACACTGAAGAAGAAACCCTTCAATACTACAATCAAGCAAGATCCATAATGACCGAAGGTAACTTTAATCTACGCTCGTGGGCTTCAAACAGCAAGGTTCTGCACACACAGGCAACCAGTGACAACGTAGCAGACAAGAATGAAGTCGTTAACCTCCTTGGCCTGAAATGGATTCCCTCGACTGACACCCTAAGTTTAAGTCCAAAACTAAAGAGCCCCCCTCCAGAAAGTACCTATACCAAACGTGAAGTATTACGTCAGGCTTCCAAAACCTATGATCCTCTTGGACTGATTTCCCCAGTCACTATCAAGGCAAAAATATTCATGCAAGAGTTATGGAAGCAACACCTAGAATGGGATGAACCACTGTCAGTCGAACTTAGTACAGCTTGGAATGCTATCGCCAAAGACATTGAAAAAGCTACTCAAATTACATTGCCAAGAACTTACTTCCAATACCAGAACTCGAATTCAGAGAACACTCAATTACACGTATTTGCTGATGCAAGTATCAAAGCATATGGCGCAGTCGCTTACCTGTGCAATGGAAATCAGACATCGCTAGTAATTTCGAAGTCACGAGTGGCACCCCTTAAACAGCTAACTCTACCACAGTTGGAACTTATGGCCGCATTAACTGCAGCTCGGTTAGCAAGTTTTGTCAAGCAAGCCTTGGAACAAAGGTATTCCAATTTAGAAATCTATATGTGGTCAGACAGCGAAATCGTTCTACATTGGTTAAACAGCGACAAAACACTGAAACAGTTTGTTGCGAATCGTGTCCAAGAAATTAAACAACTCGTTCCCGCAACACACTGGAACTATTGCCCCACTAAATCCAATCCTGCTGATTTACTTACTCGTGGCATCAACTCAAAACAACTTAAATCTTCAAACCTCTGGAAAGATGGCCCAGAATGGCTACTTTGTAAATCACGTTGGCCATCTTGGAACGCGGCAAAGGTTCTCCACATTAACGACATCGACCCTGTCAACGAAGAAGTGGTACCGGTACCCGAAGAACCACCACCATTAACGACTGTTCCAGGTATACATCAAGTCATCGATATTTCCAGATAAAATTAGCACACTCAACAAGCTGCTCAGCGTTACCGCCTACGTTCTGAGATTTGTGAAAATTATCATGAAACAACAATGGGACAAAGGATCTCCAACCGTTGCAGAGAAACACGAGTCACGATGTCGATGGATCCTGAATTCACAAAGCTTGATGTACAGTAAGGAAATTGAGAACATTCAGTCTAAATCGAAGAACCGTTTACCACTAGTGAGACAACTGCGTTTGTTTATCGACGAGAAAGGTTCCATTCGCTGCGATGGAAGGCTCCATAACGCACCCCTTACAGAACAAGCGAGGTTCCCTTACCTTCTACCACCAAACCATCCGTTTACCGCCCTCGTCGTCTACGACACCCATACCAAGCAGCTTCACTCTAGTACCGCCTCGACATTCACCGCGCTTCGCCAAAACTTTTGGATTGTATCAATGCGTCAGTACGTTAAGAAATTACTACGAAAGTGCGTAACCTGCAAAAAGGTTGATGGAATACCGTATAAAGCCCCCGATTCAGCCCCGCTACCAAAGATTAGAATGCAGCAGACGGTTCCCTTTTCTGTCACCGGAGTCGACTACACGGGCCCCTTGTACGTAAGATCAAATAACGGTGAAATAAAAAACTATATTTGCCTATTTACCTGTGCAACGACGAGAGCCCTTCACTTGGAAGTTGTCGCAGACTTGACAGAAAGAAGTTTTCTCCAAGCTTTCCGCCGGTTTGCGAGTCGCAAATCTTTACCGAATCGTATGGTATCGGATAACGCCTCAACATTCACAGCTAGTGCAGATGAACTCAAGGAACTATTCCAGTCACCGAGCTTAAAGGAAACATTCTCCAATCGAGGTGTCATTTGGCAGTTTATACCCAAAAGAGCTCCTTGGTTTGGTGGTTTCTGGGAGCGACTTATTGGACTTACCAAGAAATCCCTCAAGAAAGTACTCGGAAGATCCTTCGTAACCGTCTCCGATCTACAAACAATCGTAGTTGAAATAGAAGCAATTCTTAACGATCGACCCCTAACCTATCTTTCCAGCGACGTCCAAGACGATGAGCCACTCACACCTTCCCACCTCTTATACGGAAGAAGAATTACTTCCTTACCATACCCAGATAACGGAGATGAATTAGAGGACCCCAACTACGGAGATGATTCGGCCTTAAGAAGAAGAAACAACCTACAAGCGGCAGTTTTACAAAGATTTGGGTCTCGTTGGCGACACAAATATTTGACATCGCTTCGCGAATTTCATAGAAGCAGTGGGAACAACGAACAAACGATAAAGGAAGATGAACTAGTTATGGTCCACGATGATAAACCCAGAAACACATGGAAATTAGCAATCATAGAAGAACTTATTCGAGGAAACGATGGATTAGTGCGAGCCGCAAACATCCGCACAAAAAATGGTCGCACGAACAGACCAATCACCAAATTATACCTGTTAGAGATCTCCGCAGACATTAGCAAAGAACAACAGAAACAATCGAATGGCGCGGAAGAAACCGACACGCGAACAATTGCTGAAAACAATTCATCACGACCAAAGAGAGCAGCGGCTCTAAGAGCAAGAAACAAAATTTCAAAATGGGTCGAAGAACTTTCCCCGGCCCCGGAGGATGTTGAATAATGCTAGATTAGATTACTAACTTTAAACCTATCTTTATCTTTAAAGTAGATCATTAACATTCATATTTCTAGGCTAGTTTTGGGTTAGCTGTGCCTCGTCACATGACAGTTGTTTTGGCGCACTTTTATATAGTTTTAGAAAAACTCGAAACACAACGCTTTGTAATAGTTTTATACACAATAATATTCAACCAAACAAACCTGGTCCTCGTCTTTTACGACAGACGTACAAACAAAAGATAATGCAAATTTAGTTAATCAACAAACTGTTACAGGGCCTTTTTTAAGGATCTTCCAGTGGGGGGGCATTTTTTAAAAAGGGACCTTTCTGTGAGATAATATATTAGAGGGGGATAGCAATGGCTTAAAGCCATGTGTGTGGCAAATATACCACGCATGAATGGGGGGTCTGGTGGGGGTGTACTCCCCCAGAAAATTTTTGAAATTTGACTCCCGGAAATGTCATTTCCTGCATTCTGAGCATCCAAATTTGCTCCAAAATTTATCCTAACTATACTTGTATTTGAAATAAATAAAGGAAGAAACACACAAAAAGTAAAAAAAATTAACCATCATTTATCATTACTTATTAGAGGAGGATAGCAATGGTCAGGTGTGTGGGGGTGTACTCCCCCAGAAAATGTTTGAAATTTGAACCACGGAAATGCCATTTCCTGCATTCTGAGCATCCAAATTTGCTCTAAAATTTATGCTAACTATAGTTGTATTTGAAATAAAAGATGGAAAAATGCACAAAAAGTAAAAAAGAATATTAACTGTAATTTATCATTACTTATTAGAGGGATAATCCCAAGAAAATTTTTGAAATTTGAAACCGTGAAATGCTATTTCCTGCATTCTGAGCATCCAAAAAATAAAAAAAAATATTAACAATAATTTATCATGGCTTAGTGGTAAAAAAGTAACAATTTAAATCGATTTTGTGAAACAAGAACAAAGGATAAAGCCTAAAACTTACTTTCCGTTTATCTATTTGTTAATCTTCGCTGGATTGTTTGTATAATTTTA